TCATATTGACCTTTTAACTCTGAATATGATAGCACTAGGTTGGCCTTGCAAAATTTAAATAAACATTTCATAATCGTACAATGGGCTGTCACTGTATTCTATTATTATTAATTCAATTAATATCATGCGTAATTATTTTGTCGCATTCAAAATATTTTTACACTTTCTTGCAATGTTGACAGTGTATTCATGGAAGAATTCTTTGGAGCGCTACAAAATATTAATTTTTTCTCTAACCCCCTTTCAATACATCCATATTGATAATATAAAAAAATGTTTCTGCAAACAGAAGACTGTAATGACTTTCTTGGGACGCTACTTCATGTATCAGAGTGCAATTAACCAATCACTTTTAACCAGGTATCATGGAACAGCCCTGAATTCCAATGCGATGCCTATTTGAAATTTTCTCACTCTCGCTAAGTCGCGAACACTATGAACGGACCTGACTTTAGCGTAAATTGTCATATAACGCTGAAAACAAGGACAGTTGCTAACAAATCTTGTGACTATAATGACAAGCATATAGGCGAGCAGCCGTATCTCTCTGCGCAAGCACCTCTTACAGTCAAACTCGATATGGAAACTCGTCGTCCACATTTAGGACTACCGCTCAAGCTCCCAACACTGGAGAACAATGCTGCTGACTTGTATCCTCATACTTCAAACTTCATTCCACCATCTAGTTACACCAGCAACCAAAGCTGGCCCATGTACCCACTGCAGTCTGCAGGACACTATGATGTTGGAAGCAACTCCCATTCATACATGCTCTCAGGACTCCCTTTCTCTTCTGGACATTCCCTGAGTTTTCTTCAACAAGAATCAGAAAATCATCCCGCCACTTCCCATCACCGGCAATTTGAATCTGGTGCATTTCATTCTTATGATCGAGGAGGAGTTCATGGTTCTGATCCCCCATCCTACTGGTCATCTGACTTCAGCATTCCAAACAGTGTGTCCGAAAATGACCAATATCATCACAATCGATACCAACACCAGAACTTCATGTCTCTGAATGGGAATCTTCCTCCGTGGCCACAGTTTGTGCCTCATCACCCTGATGCCTTTCATTATCACACAGAACCAAGTGTTAGCTCAAAATCAAGCTACTCAACACATGACACTGAGGATGGTGCTAAAAATCAATGGTTCCATTCAAGAGACATTGCTTACCAAGGATGTGAAAATGACATTGATCCAAGATGCCAGGACATGCACCGCTCCAGAAGTCGAAGTCTGAAATATCGAACTAGAACAGAGGAACTACCCTTACCTTACCATGTGAGGAAACAAGAGAAATACATGATGAAGAAACTGAAAGAAATGGAAAAGACAGATATGGAAAAATCCAGACAGCTCATGGAATTCTATCAATACCAAATCACCTTTGCTGAGAAACATCACAAAGAGAAACTGGAATCTGGAGCTGCTTGCTCCATGGATTCTAGTGATCTTGATGAAGTTGAGGGACAATTTCTACAAATAATTAACCAAGTTTTAGAGAGAATTCAAGTGATTCAAGATGATTCTCGATCCCACTCAGATGGCGGACTCGAGTCATGCTGCGGAGAAACTAGGAAGACTCGTCTGTTACCTAAGCGCTCAGTCAAGATCTTGGATAGCTGGTTCACAGACAACATCAGTAATCCATATCCATCCCGGGATCAGACAATAAGATTGGCTTTAGATTGTGGACTTACTGTAGAACAAGTCCGCAAATGGTTTGCCAACAAAAGGAATCGATCACGCAACAACCGTTCTCAGTTCTTCAAGTGACAAGTAAAGTTTAGAAACTTCAATAATTTCTTTCATCAAAATGCTGAGCATTAGAAAATTTCTGTCATATAAAATGTTAGTGTTTTTTTTTTAATTTTCATTTCATGACATGATCCTAAAGGATATAAAAAATAACTGACATAATTTTTCTAAAAATATTTTTTTCATTTTAATATTCATGTTGGATAAACCATTTTCTTGTAGATATCTCACTTATTTATTAAAAGACATTGATAAAGCTTTGGGTTTTATATGTCTGTTTCATTGTTTCAATTCAAAATTAATTCTTATGGTTGCTGGATACAAGACTTTAATATTTTTCTCATTTTCTGAAAAAAAAAATTTACAAACATTTATTAATTATAGAAACTGTATTTGATTTTCATAAATCTAAGAATTTATTTAGTTACCAAATGGAATGCTCTCACATAAAATTATTGTTAAATGAATCATTCTCCACAACTATTTACAAACAGCAGTGAATGAAAGGAAAAAATATCAAATTTTCCTCATAAAAAATGCTTATTCATAAAGTGGCTTAAAACTATAATTTCGTGAAAATTCAGAAGACCTTTTTGTTTAATCTTGTCTCCAGATTCAGCAATTTAGAAATATTTATTTTGGAATCCATGAACACTCTACATTTTGTACTTTTAATCTTGAAATATTTGACAAATATTCAAATAGGATTTTTTCAAAATAAACTTTTAAATAATTCTGCTGAAATAAATACTGATTTTAATACTAATAGAAAATAAATTGGCACTATTGCAAACATTCTTAATATTCAATTAAAATAAAAACTCTAATGGAAACCAAAAAGGGAAAGTCTAATTCATAAATTAGCAAGGGAAATTCACAGTTTTTCCAAAAATCTTAGGCTTTGTAATTACACTTCAAAATATAGTTGTAGGATTTAGTGTATTCTTGAAATCATTGAACAAATTAATTCATAAGTGACTTTCTTTTTAATTTGAAAACTTTAATATTGATAATCTGAAGAACAGAGTTTTAAAGATTTAATCTTTTATGAAAATTTAACTAAACATATTGACAAGTGTAGTTCTATTTTTTTATCAGATCATTAGAATATTTAAGGCATGTTTCTTTATTAGAAAAATTATAAGCTTCATCAACAAAGACAAACATAGATTATTTGCTGTTGAAAATTAAATCAACTATTTGCTTACCACTCAAGCCCTCTTTAATTAATAGAGCAAATAACTGAGTAATTAATAGGCTTTAAACGTAAATATCAGATGTGGTATTTATAAAAGAGGTATGGACACACTACCATCTTAAAAGAATATTGAATAAAATTTAATTGCACATATTTTTTAATGAATATAAAAATAAATATACCCAAAATTAATTCATCCATACTAAATATTATATTTATTTTGCTGATAAGAAATTATTTATTAATTTTAAAAAATTTCTAGATTAATACTATTACAAGATATGAAATTGTTTTATTCTTTAAAAGTTTATTTATTAACTTAGAAATTTAATACTAGTTAAGAAAATATTACCTTTAGTAAAATCAAATTAGCAATTCATTGAAAACTTCTGATTTTTTCAAGTGGATTAATGTTTTTGATTATGTTGTTACACAATCTGATTAAAATCAGATCTTTGTTATGCTCCGAAATTCTGATGGTCGCTGTTACACTGCAGATCATACATATTTCCTCATCCAAGCTTTATTTTAAAAGTTTATAATTCAATTCAATTAATTTGCTGGCCGAAAGAAATGTCTTGTGCTCTAGCTTTATTTTTTTTTTCCTTCTGCAATCAAATTGATGATAATGGGGAAAAACTGTGAAAGACTGCAGGCAAATGCATGTATTAACAATCAATATTACTTCTCTGAGCAGTATAAACATTTAACAAAAATTTCATTTACTCCCCAAACTAAAATTGTAAATACAATTTTTAAAAATGTGCTTCCTTTTTTTAAAAAAAATTTCCTATTATCGTGGGATTTGACATAATCTTTTAAAAACTAAGTAGTAAGGGTATGTAAAACTTATCAATTGCCATAAAACTTGTCAAATTGCTTCAATATCATCTCCGAAATTTTTGGGAAAACATATAATACAATTTTTAAAAAATGTGCTTTTTTTTTTTAAACATTTCCTGATATCATGGGATTTGACATAATTTTTTAAAAACTAAGTAGTAAAGGTTATATGTAAAATTTATCAATTGCCATAAAACTTGTCAAACTGCTCCAATGTCATCATTGAAATTTTTTGGAAAATACATATACATGTACATACACTACCATTTGTCAGAATCCCAAAGTTTGACTACTGTAAATGTACTTTTTTTCACTGTGTCTTGATTCAGCGAAATCACAATTTCTGTTCAATCCACAGGTAGAAAATTTTATGGATTTCTCAGACTGCCACTGTATTTCTTCAGTGCACTTTATAAGTAGGCTGCGACAAATTTCTGCAGAAAATTCATGATCAAGTACCTTACAGTAGTGCACAAATCATATTAATTTTCCCTTATATTTATGAAATTATGTTTAATAATATTATTTTCAGGCAGACATTTATTAATGAAATTTAAAAAAAAACATCAACTCAAGTTTTAAATTTTTTTTCCCCCATAAACAATTCATTGACACAAATTTCTAAAAGCATGTATTATTCTTATTAATTTTTTTATTTTCTTGCATACTATCCACAATTGACTGTTTCTGACATAATTTAAAAAAACACAAACTGGCTGACTCTATCACAATGATTTACAAACTATACAGATATTTTTATAAGAAAAAGATATTTTATAAGCTATTCTTTAGTAATGGTTTATTGTATGATCTCTTATAGTCGTAATGAAAGGCTTTCTGCCAATTAATTGTGTTCCTAATATTTATACAAAACAATTAAATAAACCCCCCTTTAATTCAAATCACATTATAATAAACCAAGAAGACAAGATTAGAAAAATAAAAAAATCCCTATGAGAATTGATTTTTTTTTTTTGTTTTCAGTAAGCAATGTATTATTTGAATTCTTTCAACATTAAGAGCAATCAGTAAAAAAAAGAATAAATCTTTTATCTGAAATTAAAACAGAAACCAAAAAGAAATATAGTTAAAATCCAGAAAAGAGGAAAAATAATTAATTATCTCTCTTACTGTTATCAAAACAATCTTATTAAGTGTGTCCATGTTGACAATATATTTAATTGCACAGCAGGGACTATGAAAACATACAGGACACTTTGAGTAACTAATTACAGCATTGTGTCTACAATCAAAACCTTGTAATTAATTATCTCTCTAAAGATGAGCAACTCAAATTATACCACACTGACCAATGAAAATCTTAGAATTTAAACTTGAGTTACTAAAATTTAGAAAGTGACCAATGAAAATTTGTAACTCTGTCTTGTGCCATCTCCTACTCGAACAAAAAGCCCTGACACCTGAGCTTTGGCCATGACACTTTTCGTGCAAAGTTCAAATCTTCTGACCTTGAGTTAATCAATTTGGCTGAGATTGGAGATTGTTCTACAATGGAAACGCATTACACAACTTATCACTACATTGATGACATTGAGTCTGAAGCTGAGAGAAGTATGTCAACTTTTGGTCAGCCTCCAGTGATTGACCTTTCAGAGGTCATCGCCACCACAATCCTTAGTGACAATTCCAAGGACTCTTCCTATAGTGATGACCTTGCCAACCTGACTGATGTATTTGACCCTTCCAAGGAAAGCACAGACTTTGATGATTCCGGTGTGTCTCAGGACCATGTTGTGTTGTGTGGTGAAAACTTCCGTGTTCGTCATCGCAGTGCTTTGTCAAGCTGTGAAGTTCTGGAATTGGATGAGGACACTGACACTCCTGTGGTTACCAGTAAGAGCCAGCCTTTGAAGACATCCACCCCTGCCATTGTTCACACACAGACAGTGCTCCCAGCCACTCCTTACAGAAACAACAGTTTTGTGGGAGATTCTCGATTCAATGACTCACTCAACAATCTTCTTGGATCCCCCGACAGTTCTCTTCACAACAACCCCTTCTTCAATGACCTTCAAGCTGCCTTAGCTGATGAATGCACTTCTACTGAACCTGGCAAAGACTTTCTTCCACAATCACTCTTTGATGCCTTGACAACACAACCCAACAGTGATGTGTTCACCAGGGAACAGATGCTTCAGGACCGCTTCAACAAACTCTTATCTTCTTTCCCTGATGATGTGCGGAAACTTTCAGAGTTCTACCATCACCAAGCATCAGAGGTGGAGACAGAGCGATTTTGTGCACTCCAGCAGAAAGACCTGTCATCAGATGTGAAATATACCATGAACTGCCATTACGACTCTCAGCTTCATCAGATCATGGACCGTGTTGAACAGAGCCTGCTCCTACTTGAGAAAACCCAACAGATGAACTACACTTCTAGAGCCATCAAACCCCGACCTCTCCTCTCCAAGAAAGCTGTTCAACTGATGGAGAACTGGTATGACAATCACCTAGAACATCCTTACCCTAACACTGATGCCATTGAGCAACTATCCACTGCGGGGGGCATCACAGCCGAGCAAGTGAAGAAGTGGTTTGCCAACAAGCGTAATCGCTCCAATAACACCCGTACTCTCACTGAAATCGCCAAGAAGAAGCGACAACTTGCCTTGAAGAACATGGACTGTTTTTAATTTAAGACCAAATGTTGAACTGTTTTTGTTAAGTTTTCAAGTGCTGTTTTGTATATAAATTATTTGTTTCACACATATGCTGCCAAATTTGTACAATTATGAATTTGTTGAATTTCTATTATGAAAATTAAAATATAAAAATAATTTTTTGTTCTCAAATTATTGTGACTGTTGTCCTAAACTTGTTCATCAGTAAGTTGCATTATTTGAACACAATACAACAGTGTACTGTATTCAAATACATGTCAATATCTCTTACTGGGGAAAGAAGTTTTTTTTAACAGTTGCTTTAATATTAATGAAAGACAGTATTCACTGAATATTATTTCAATCATCCAGTGGGTTGCTTCTAGTATTATAAAAACCCACTTTCCAGACAAAACTCATTTCAGTCAATACTGAAAGAAATACATGTACCGGGTATAAAGAAATCAGAACAAATCAACTTCAAACAAGATTTTATAATTGAAACAAATTTTGAAAGACAAAATCAAAAAAAAAAAACCAAAAAAAAAACAAAAAAAAATTAAATAAATAAATAAATAAAGAGTACACTGTTTACAAAGAGAACATGCCATATAGCAATCTTTTCAAATTACATATCCAGAGATTGAAAAATTATTAAAACCTCAGAAATAGTTTTCTGCATTTTTTACTCCATAATTTGAATCATATCAAAAAAGGAGGTCATATATTGTCTGTATTTTATCTATTTTTTATTTCCTTTTTTCCTTAAAAAATGTGAATATATATATATATATATACACGTAGTTCCAAAACAAAATTAATATCAATTAACCAAAATCCCTTCATTTAATTCACTGTAATGATAACTATTGTCTTATTCAGTTTCTGTACAGATTTTCACTACAGATGAGCATAAATTGAGAGAGCTGAAGCTTTTTTTTTTTATTTTAACTTCTTGTCATCTTCTTTCTACACTGAAAATCAAGTTGGTTTACAAAAATTTAGAATGAGACAGCATTTCATCTTAACATTAAAAACATGCCAAATTTTAAGATACATACCACAAACAATTTTTCTTATTTCTCACACAGAATATTTACATTTTTTTTTTTTTTTAAAATATTTCTTTCAACTGAAGTCTAATTCGGGAATTTTAAATTGTATAAAATGTAAAAATAGACTCTTGAACATATTCTGTACAGTAACAAAACTTTATATATTTCTAAAACTTTTCAAAAATTATATATTGAATTGTAAACTTATATTTTCCCTCTTTTCACTAAATTATGTGACTTGGTTAAACAAAAGTTGATTAACTAAATGGAAGTCATTTCTCTAGTGAGAGGGACACTTATTTAAGCAAGGATATTTAGATTTTGGAAGGAAGAAAATTGTTTATTTTATTTATCTCTATTTACATAAAATATTTCTTGGTATCAAAATTGTTTTAATTGTAAATGTATAGCAGTGCTAAATGCTAGATGTCAGGAATAAAAAAAATTTCATTTTGATTAACGTAATATACTATGCAAGAAAAATAAATAAATTAAAAAAATATACACTCAAGTTATCATAATTTTTTAATAGAAATAAAATTCGAATAGTAACTTTATATGGATTACACCTTTTCCAAACAGCATCAAAATCTAGCAATCTAGTATGCTTTCAAACACACCATGATAAAAACCTATCCCAAAAGAATTCACTATTCTGTATAAGTTATTAAAAACTGTAGCATATCCATATAAATTCATGGACTCATTTGTGAATCATGAATATACTAGTGCTATCCCAGATCATCTTGTATGTGTTTCTACAAATTTGTAGCTAGGTGTTGTTAATGAAATAGCATACTGAAGACACAGTGCCAGTGGAGATGAACATGAAATCAAACAAACAGTACCGGTATACATCTTTATTGTCTTAAAAGTAAATTTGAGAAAACTGTAGCCTAGTCCTAGCTAACATGCATCAGTATATGGTGCAAATATGATGTACATGTTAGAGATAAAACTCATCATTTATCAAGGGACCTCTTGCATACTCTTTCTCATAAATGATTAATATTTGTGTTGGACTGGTTTTGATAATCCAAGCTGAATAAAAGAAATATTTCAGCTTATCTCAAGATAAAATTTTACTTTCAAACATTAGCAATGAAAAAAATTGAGATCTCATATGCAAGCAAAGTTTATCTTTCCTACCTATTACGTTATGGACATAAGTTGTTATACATGGGAACACAGCAAGAAATGGATGAGAAAATGTTTACAAGCAAAGGCTTTAGATCATAAACAAATTGATTAAAGAGTCAATATTGACTTGCTCAAACATAAGCTACTCAGGCACTATCATAAAACTCAACCAATCACCAGACAAATACCAACAATTCAAACCTCCTTAGTTCAAACTTGTTGATGGTGGGAAATTTTAACTTGTGTATACTTTACTGAATGACACTTTTCTTCTACTCACATCCTTGTGTTTTAAGAATAGATGGGGCCATGTTCAGAATATTTAATGAAAACAGAGTTAAGTTGACCCCTGTCTAACCCTGTCCTTAATTGCTTTTATGCATATACTGGGATTTTATGTAATAATTGTGGATTTTTTTTTTTCCACATCAGACTTCAATAGATTAATTCTGAAGGAGGAGCACATCAATAACAACCGTGATTATCTCCCTTTGTCATCGCATTAAACTGAGTATTAATAAAACCATTGCTTAACAATTTTATGCACGTTATGCAATATTTCTGAATGAAAAGACTTAAAAAATGCAAACACAAACTTTTTTCTTTGAGAGAGAGAGGGATATTTCAAGGCGTAAATCACATTTTCAATTACCATGAATTTTATTATTTTTTTTCAAATGCCTGTGGAACATTTCAAAATATGCAGATGTAAATTACTCCCTGCCAAAACATGTTCCAATGAAACAAGTAAAAATCATCATGTTGCTTAATACATCTTAGAAAAGATCCACAGTTGAAATTAAAAATCAACAACAACACAATCTGCAACCTGTTAAAATTTCCTCCTTGATCAAAAAGAGAAAGTATCACATTGCTCCATGAAAAACAGCTTGTGAAAGTTAAGACTTTTTTTTATATATTGAAAACCTTTAAGTTCTTCAAAAGACAAACTACGATTTATTATTTTTCTAATGCAATTCCAAGGGATTGTGTCATTTATTCCCACCTGGCAACATTTTTAAAAAAAAATTTTGAAGGACCCTTTATTGTAGACTAGCATGTTATAAATATCTCACCAATCCCATTAGCTGCCCAGATGTTGCGATCATCATTTCTGAGGACTTGCTTGTACATAGCTAAGGCTCTTTCCTGGTGACGTTTTTCCTACAAAAATGATATGTTTATAGTAAACGGAGTTGATAGTGATAAAGTGATAATATTGTTGCAACATGTTAAAAAAAAACATAGGTAATCAAAGATTAAGAAGCTCACCTCGACGAATGTTATCTATAAGTAATGCAAATTTCACATCATATTTTTTTTCCAGTTAGTGTACATCAAAAGATCAATATCCATGCAAGTTTGATTTAAGTAGAACTTATAGTTACTTGGAAAAAGACCTGCTCAAAATCTTTTAACCTGTTTACTGATCAAGAAAATTTTGGTCAGTTCCAAAATCCAAAGCAAGTCTGAAGTTTTCATCCTTAGATGCACCATCTATACAAAGTTTATCATAACAGGCCCTAATATTATATAGCTACTCCAAAAAATTATCTTGGTCACTCATCTGGAAAATCTAGGTCAGATTCAGAATCCAAAGCAAGTCTGGAAGTATCCATCCCTAGATACATCATCCATGCTAATTTGGTTAAAATATGGCTAAAATTCACTCATGTGGAAAATCTAGGTCAGATCCAGCATCCGAAGCAGGTGAGTTACTGTACATCCCTAGATGCATCATCCATGAAAGTTTGGTCCAGGTAGGGCTTATAGTTACTTGGGAATGGATCTGCTCCAAAATCTTTAACCTGGTCACTCATGTGGAAAATCTAGGTCAGATCCAGCATCCCAATCAAGTGCTGTAGTGTCCATACCTGGATGCATCATCCATGCAAGATTGGTTCAGGTAGGGCTTATAGTTACTTGGGAATGGACCTGCTCCAAAAACTTTAACCTGGTCACTCATCTGGAAAATCTAGGTCAGATCCAGAATCTGAAGCAAGTGTGGTAGTGTCCATCCCAAAATGCATCATACTTGAAATTTGGTCCAGGTAGGGCTTATAGTTACTTGGGAATGGACCTGCTCAAAAAACTTTAATGTGCTCACTCATCTGGAAAATCTAGGTCAGATCCAGCATCCAAAGCAAGTGTGGTAGTGTCCATCCCTAGATGCATCATCAATGCAAGTTTGGTCCAGGTAGGGCTTATAGTTACTTGGGAACAGACCTGCTCCAAAAACTTTAACGCGGTCATTCATGTGGAAAATCTAGGTCAGATCCAGCATCCGAATCAAGTGTGAAAGTGTCCATCCCTAGATGCATCATCCATGAAAGTTTGGTCCAGGTAGGGCTTATAGTTACTTGGGAAAGAACCTGTTCCCAAAACTTTAACCTGGTCACTCATGTGGAAAATCTAGGTCAGATCCAGCATCAGAAGCAAGTGTGGTAGTGTCCATCCCTAGATACATCATCCATGCAAGTTTGGTCCAGGTAGGGCTTATAGTTACTTGGGAATGGACTTGCTCCTAAAACTTTAACCGGGACGCCGATGCCGACGCCGGGGGTATAGCATAAGCTCATCTCGACTTTGTCAAGGTGAGCTAAAAATCATTTTCAAGGCATACTATCTTTAAACTATCAGCACCTGAAACTGAGACGGCACATCTCACATTCAAGTATTTCACATCCAGCTATAATCCAGCTATAATCTCCATATCTTTATCACATGCACTGCAGGAAAGTTGATTTCCTTACTGATCAAAAGAAGCATTAGCCTGTTTGTACGAATCTTATCACGTCCGATAAGGACTATTCCATTAAAAATTATCTGAGGGTGTGG